ATATGTCGCGCGCTCACATTCAAGAGAAAAATAGTTGTCCTGTTTTGTGTCCAAATAGGAGGAAAGAAAATTTAACAGATAATTTTAAGTAGGTAAATTCTAGCAGAATTAATAAAATGATAAGATACATTGCAAGAATAAATCAAATGAGAGAGATTAGTAAGTATATTAAAGCACATTGGTATATTAAAGCTCTGATTGATTACATTGACAGCTTGATTGATAATTTTAACAAGATTAATAGGCATCATACAGCAAATTGATAGTATATATAAGAAGACAGCAATGATCACAATGGTAAAGATGTTCGGATTGGGTACATAAATATTGGGAGATTGGGTCGCAATAGATACAGTGCAATTTTAAAGCAACAAGGTAAAAAACTATGAAGATGAAATTAGGTACTTTTTAATTTTGTTTTTGAATGACGCAAAAGTTGGACAGCTTTTCAATTCATTAGGGAGTGAGTTCCATAGACTGGGTCCCTTTACTTGCATAGAGTGTTTACACAGATTAAGTTTGACTCTGGGGACATCAAAGAGATATGTATTTCTAGTGTGGTGATAATGGGTCCTATTACATGGACAACAAGATGAGGACACGACAACGTTTCGGTCTGTCCTGGACCATTATCAAGTCCATTGTGATAATGGTCCTCACAATCGACTTGATAATGATCCAGGACGGACTGAAACGTTGTCGTCTCCTCATCTTTTGGTGTGTGATTTAGTCTTTATATCTTTAGCCACGTTATTGTGACTCATCATCTGCGTACAGTACAGTATTTGGGTAAATCATTGTTGTATATGGTAGAATGTTTTTAGATATATTACCTGATATAACAACTGAAAGATGGTTGCACTTTTCTTACTATAGTATTTCTTCTTCATAGGAAGAAATACTATAGTCTTCACGCTGTTTTCAGATATCTTTCTGAAGACAGTAACGCAAACTGTTACTTTACCTAGCAAGGTGGAAATGGATGAAGATACTGACAAAGCTATTAGGGATCTGTGTAGTAAAGGCCTTCCCATTAGATATTTTCCTAAATTGGGTTCATCCCGCCAAACACACACTGAAACTACGACGTTGGTACAACGTTCGAACAAGTTTTAACACCTAACCAGTTATAATAATCAATATAGCAAGTTATAACAACGTTCTAATACGTCATAAACACGTTAAGCCAAGATGTAGCAACTTTATTACAAGTTGTAACAAGCGGAAAATAGAGACAGTTACGGTTTGTGTTTCCAGGGATTGCAGTGGGAATATAATGAGGATCTTGCAAGAATGGCGGGTATTCCAGGTTTACAAAGTGTTGTGCTAAAACTATATAAGGCTGTAAGTGACTTGAGGAAAATGCAACTAATGTTCTATAAAGAATATTGTTTTTGTATCACTGGGCCAGATACCTTTGAGCAAATTAAATGAAAAAGCTCATGTTTGTGTTTACCAGAGCATTAAAAGCAAAGCTGTTAGCTGATTTCTGAGTCAAGTGTTACGTGTTGAATCCTTTGCAAATCCTTCAATCAGCCAAAATCACTATATACTGCAGGTAAATATTTTGTCATAGTTCAGAGTGATGCGTTTAGTTTAGTTGCAAAATGTTATAGATGGAGAGACATTTGTTACCGAATGGTCTTTAGAACACAGTTCCTGTATAAGATAAAGGAAAGTGGAAGAATAAATAACTATTATTACAATATAATGGCAAATATAATCTAAGTGTGCTATAATGGAAACTGCATACATGGAGACTTGTTGGAAGGAAACCTACTGGTACTTGTCCAAGGGGAAGCCTTGGATGCTCACTGTGCCAGAGCCATTATGATCTATCAAGGTTTCTTATCTCCTGGTAGACTCATTGACCTTGTTTTCCATCAGGGCAAGCATTTTTGCCAATGATCTTGTCAAGTACAGTCAAGTATGGGAAGCGTATCCGCAAGATAGCAGGTAAGTTCGTTCCCGATATCTCCCCGGTCCTTCACCTCGTTGGTACTCTTGTGGCGGACCTGTTGCAAGTTGTGACCGAATTGGGTTCCCACTTTTCGTCTGCTAGCTTTGGTTCTCATCTTCCCCATTCCTTCCTTCTTCGTAAGCCTCTTCTTGAATCTCGTCCTTTGAATTTCTGTACCTATCTCTGCCTTCAATATAACAATCCCTTCTCTATTTCTGAGCTCCAGTCTTCCTGACCCTCTGCGGTTCTACGGCGGCAGGCTCCGATGGCATTCATTATGAGATGCTTCGACATCTCCCTTCGTGCTCGTCTCAGTATTTACTGAGTCTGTTTAATCGGGTCAGGGAGTCGTCGTCAGTCCCTGAGGACTGGTTCGATGCTGTTGTCCTCCCTATTCGGAAACCAGGGTCTCTCGGGTCTTCCCCCAAGGACTTCCGCCCTATTGCCCTTACGAGTTGTGTCTGCAAGCTCTTTGAACATATGGTTAACGTTCGTCTGATGTGGTTCTTAGAGCACTATCACCTCCTTTCCCCTTCTCAATTTGGTTTTCGCAAATGCCACAACACAACAGATGTCCTGGTGAACTTGGAGGTCTATATTCGTACTGCTTTTGTTGCGAAGACCTCCGTTGTTGCCGTCCTTTTTGACCTGGAAAAGGCTTAAAACACTACCTGGCGGTATCATATTCTGTCCCAACTTCATTCTTTTGGCCTTCGTGGGACTCTCCCTCTCTTCCTCCAAAGTTTCCTCTCTCGTCGTTCCTTTCACTACTCTGAGCACTACTCTACACTAATACTTTCACCACTCTGAGCACATCGTTCCTTTCACTACTACTCTGAGCACTACTCATTTTCTTGTTGCTCTCAATGGTCTTCTTTCCTCCCTCCCTTCTGGCGTCTTCTCTGCTCTCTATGTTACCTTACCGATCTTACCCTTTGCTGTCGGGGTGATTCGCCTCTCCTTCAATGGCGACTTCAACTTGCAATTGATGCCATGTTGTCTTGGGCCACCGATCATGGCTTCAAGTTCTCTGCGTCTAAGACTTTTGCTATGACTTTTACTCGGAAGCATGTCATTCTTCGTCCCTCTTTATCAATTTATGGACATCCCCCTTGTGTATAAGGATTTCGCTAAGTTTGTGGGGTTAATCTTTGACACGATTTTGTCTTGGTCAGCCCATATCTCTTACCTCCGAGTTGAATGCTCTAAGGCCCTTAACCTACTTAAGGTTTTGTCCCATACTTCTTGGGGGGCAGATAGGTGTACGCTCCTCTTTCTACATTCCTCACTCGTTCTGTCTAAACTCGATTATGGTTGCCATGCTTATTCGTCCACTTCTCCTTCTACTCTTCGCTGTCTTCATGTTTTGCTCCATGCTGGGTTGCGCCTCAGCTCTGGTGTCTTTCGTTCGACTCTTGCCCTCAGCTTGGTTTCCTATCTCTCCAGGACCCACGTGATTGCTGCTGTCTTCGCTATCTGGCGCAGTCCTTGTAACATCCTTCCTCTTGCCTCTGTCGTGTTTTGACTTTTACCCCTCCTGTTGTTCTTGTTCCTCTTCACCACCTCCCTCTTTCTGTCCAGCTATCTCACTTACAGGTCTCATTCCATTCATCTTTCTCATATTTCTCCTCGTATTGCTCCTTCCTTGCCTCCGTGAAGGGGGCCCCCTTCCGAAGTTTTGTACATCCTTGACCTGCATTATTAAAGCTTATACTCCTCCTATGGTTCTGAAACGCCTTTTTCGTGAGTGCACTTCATACTCCCGCTCCGTTTCCATCTTCACCAATGGGTCTAAGTCCGCAGACGGTGTGGGCTACTCCGGTGTTTTCCTGACCGCACTTATATGTGTTGCCTCTCTTCGGAGACTAGCATCTTCACAGCAGAGCTTTATGCTATACTCCATGCTCTCCGTCTCCTGCCTTTTCGTTGTCAATCCTCCTTTGTGATTGTCGTTGACTCTCGTAGTGCCCTCGTGACTCTCGGGTCCTTTAATCCTGTCCATCCCGTTGTCGTCGAGATTCAACATTGGCTGTTTCTTATCTCTAGTAAATTAAAATCCATGGAGTTTTGCTGGGTTCCCAACCATGTTGGTGTTTCTTTAAATGAGCGTGTGGATGCTGCCACTAGAGAGGCAATCCGCTCTTGTCCCGTTTCCCTTAAAGGTATTCCTTTTTCCGACTTTTATCCAGTTATTTATTCCTCCATCCTTGCCCGTTGACAGGGTTGTTGGTCTTCTGTTGTTGGTAACAAACTGTGTACTCTTAAGAGTTGTGTTCTGCCGTGGCCTTCCTCCTGCCACCGTAACCGGCGGTGGAAAACGGCTCTGGCGAGGTTGCATCTTACCCATACTTGCTTAACTCACGGTCACTTAATGGAGCGCCGCCCAGATCCTTATTGTCCAAATTGCGTTGTCCGTCTTACCGTCGTGCATATCCTTGTTGAATGTCCTGACTTCCAGGATGAGCGTGTGTGTTGCTTTCTGACCGCCAGTCATGGTCACTTGAGGGGTGGTCGCCTTATGCGTTTCTGTTCTCGTATTGGCATCCTTAGCGATATTTAGCGCCCTCTGATTATTCCATACATTTGATGGTGTTACATAGCCTTCCCGGTTTGGTGCCTTGTTTTGATAATTACTTACTTCCTAAGAATGAAGGTCATTAATTGTGAAGAAAATTAAAAACCAAGTAAATGATTTACTATGATAAAAGTGCTAGTAAAGATGTTTGAATGTCTTCAGTACTGATAATTAAAGAAATAGAGACCACCTTAATAAAATGTGGTAACTCAATGAGAGATCAATATTTTACTTAAGGATGAGCAAGTTGAAATAAATTTTTGAAAGGAAGAATTGGTAAGAATTACAAAAACTAAATTCAGTTGAGGAATATTTAATGTTTGATCGTAAAAGGTGGCTAGAGTAAATTACTTGACTGTGGAAGTGGTAGTAGTACTGTTCTGCAGATATGAAAACCAATCAACAAAACAAAAAAATGCATCACATAAGCAGAATTTAGGACAATGAATATAAATTTTTACCCAGGTTCAGTACTTCATGGCAGTGATGAAAGGAGTGATTACTCTGCTGTCCCGCGAGGAAATGGATGATGCCACACTGTCAGAGCTCCATCGGCGTCGCCGTCTCGGATACGCTGACAGACACTTCCATAAGTTAGGACTAGAGAGGCAGCAAAACTTCACAGATGAGGTGTCGGCACTAATTGGAATCCCTTCTGAAAAACCCTCTATAATAAAAATTCTCTGTATTACACGAACTAGGCATTACTATTCAGTTAATACATTCAAGAAATATCGGTACAAGATTGACAGCAATGACTGTGTGACAGAGATGCTGGACATGCAAGTGGTACACACCTGGTGGGATCTGGGATGGCTGGTAGCCAGGCAGACGGCTCGCATCCTATGGCACGATTTTTTTGGAGTCTTAAATTATGGTATTGCTATGTTTTTCTCAAAGATGAAGAGCTACTTTGTTTGACACCAGTCAAGAAAGGTTGCTTAATGTTATAGTTTATACAGAGCTAAGTCACTACACTTCAACTATTAGATTATATATTTTGCATACCATCAGTAGATATGTGTGTATATTTGAAGGTTCTGAATAATGTTAGCTCTAATTAATAGTTTTTTTCTTTATAAAAAATCATTGTGATTGGCTCTGCCAGAATGTGTACCTGTATATACAGTATATATATATACTATTGTATATATGCTTCATATACATATATATATATATATATAACTATTGTATATATACCGCAGCTAATCCTTTGCCCAGTCTAGGTGCTAGTAAGAGTCAGGAAACCCTTCTCCTTATTCCTTAGCGGCCGGCCTCACGCCCTGGGAAAAACTTCTCCCATTTGTCATATCAGTTTTTCCCCAGTCACTAGGTATTTTCTGCCCGCCTATTAATTCTAGGATTTCCCATTATGTCTTGGTCGGGCTCCGTTAAGTGTTGTGTCTATACACTTTATTTCCCCTTTGTGTCCTGACTGTTATACCTAGTTCTAATTACATTTCATCTGCCATTAGGTTTCTGCAGAACGTGTTTGCCATGTCACTAGGTTATGCTTACTACTACGGGGGTATATTTTAAGTTAATTAATTAGTCCTCAGACATGGACATGTTACATTTGTTTATTCCTACTTATATTATTTACATGTTCTGCAGAATTTAATTTACTAATAAATTTAAGCCCCAATAGGCTTGTGTCTTTTCCCCCCTGGTCAGAAAAAAATAATACGTGTCTTATTTCGCAAAAGCTTTTGATAAATGTGACATTGGTGTTATTGCACATAAAATGCGTTCAAAAGGAATCACCGGGAAAATAGGCAGATGGATCTACAATTTCCTGACCAACAGAACCCAATGTGTAATAGTCAACAAAATAAAATCTAGCCCATCAACCGTGAAGAGCTCAGTCCCCCAGGGAACTGTGCTTGCTCCAGTACTTTTTCTCATCCTAATATCGGACATAGACAAGGGCACAACCTATAGCACTGTATCATCCTTTGCAGATGACACTAGGATTTTCATGAGAGTTGGCAACATAGAGGACACGGCAAACCTCCAATCAGATGTAGATCAGATCTTTCTATGGGCTACAGAAAATAATATGGTGTTTAACGAGGATAAATTCCAGCTCATGCGCTACGGAAAAATTGAAAATATATAAACGGACACCACGTACAAAACTCAGGCAAATCATAACATAGAACGAAAAGCCAATGTAAAGGATCTGGGGTGTACTCATGTCGGAAGACTTTACCTACAATAAAGTAGCCGTCACAACTGCAAGAAAAATGACAGGTTGGATAACAAGAACATTTCACACTAGAGATGCTATACCGATGATGATACTTTTCAAAACGCTTGTGCTCTCTAGAGTGGAATACTGCTGCACAATGACAGCCCTTTTCAAAGCTTGAGAAATTGCTGACCTGGAGAGTGTGCAGAGATCTTTTACTGCTAGAATCCACTCAGTAAAACATCTAAATTACTGGGACCAACTAAAGAGCCTAAATCTGTACTCCCTTGAGCGCAGGCGGGAGAGATACATAATAATTTACATGTGGAAAATAATTCCACGATTCCACGCTAAACGATTCTTCGCGGCAGGGGATCGTATTCCAGGGACCATAGGATTAAGGACTTGCCCGAAACACTACGCGTACTAGTGGCTGTACAAGAATATAACAACTCTTGTATATATCTCAAAAAAAAACAAAAAAAAAAATTTAGGGGCTGGTCCCAAACCTGTACACAGAAATAACATCACATGAGACCAGAAGACATGGCAGGATGTGCAGAATACCCCCCCTTGAAAAGCGGAGGTGCAACAGGTACTCTGAGAGAGAACTCAATCAACATTAGAGGCCCGAGACTGTTCAACACGCTTCCGCTACACATAAGGGGCATAACTGGCCGACCCCTCACAGTGTTCAAGAGATAACTGGATAAGCACCTCCAAAGGATACCTGATCAACCAGGCTGTGACTCATACGTCAGGCTGCGAGCAGCCGCGTCCAACAGCCTGGTTGATCAGTCCAGCAACCAGGAGGCCTGGTCGACGACCGGGCCACGGGGACGCTAAGCCCCGGAAGCACCTCAAGGTAACCTCAAGGTAACCATTACATTCATTATACATGCAGCCCTCGTCATACGACTGGCCAGGGTCTAAGATGCTTTTTGTTAGCTTGGTTCATTTATTATGCACCTCATGTCCATCCTGAGAGCGTCTGGCTAGGCTTCATGAACAACAACATGTCATATTTAATTAATGAGTTCAAGAACTGTACCCAGGTAAAATTTATTTTACTAAGCAAGTTAATTACAGACCTGGTGAGCTAGTTACATAATGTATTAGCGCACACACACACACACACACACACCTATATATTATATATTATATATATATATATATATATATATATATATATATATATATATATATATATATTAGTATATTTTGGTAGCAGTCTTTCCTGTAGACATATTTTATTAAATATGACCGAAAAAGTAAGATTAATAATTCTAACACGAATTTTCTCAATCTTTCGTACATTATGCTTCACTATTGGAGGTAAATCAAAAATCACTTCTCCAAAATTCATTTTTATTTCTAGTCTGACGCGACACGGGCGCGTTTCGTAAAACTTATTACATTTTCAAAGACTTCACAAATACACAACTGATTAGAACTTGCGTTTCCCTGGTTTTATATCTACATTTGAGTGAGGTGGGAAGGGTGATGTGGCATTACATTTGAGTAAGGTGGGAAGGATGATGTGGCATTAGAGGATATTAATAGGGTATTAAAAGTATCAACACAAGACAGAACACGAAACAATGGATATTGAATAGAAGTGTTTGTAGAAAGCCTATTGGTCCATATTTCTTGATGCTTCTATATTGGAGCGGAGTCTTGAGGTGGGTAGAATATAGTTGTGCAATAATTGGCTGTTGATTGCTGGTGTTGACTTCTTGATGTGTAGTGCCTCGCAAACGTCGAGCCGCCTGCTATCGCTGTATCTATCGATGATTTCTGTGTTGTTTACTAGGATTTCTCTGGCGATGGTTTGGTTATGGGAAGAGATTATATGTTCCTTAATGGAGCCCTGTTGTTTATGCATCGTTAAACGCCTAGAAAGAGATGTTGTTGTCTTGCCTATATACTGGGTTTTTTGGAGCTTACAGTCCCCAAGTGGGCATTTGAAGGCATAGACGACGTTAGTCTCTTTTAAAGCGTTCTGTTTCGTGTCTGGAGAGTTTCTCATGAGTAGGCTGGCCGTTTTTCTGGTTTTATAGTAAATCGTCAGTTGTATCCTCTGATTTTTGTCTGTAGGGATAACGTTTCTATTAACAATATCTTTCAGGACCCTTTCCTCTGTTTTATGAGCTGTGGAAAAGAAGTTCCTGTAAAATAGTCTAATAGGGGGTATAGGTGTTGTGTTAGTTGTCTCTTCGGAGGTTGCATGGCTTTTCACTTTCCTTCTTATGATGTCTTCGATGAAACCATTGGAGAAGCCGTTATTGACTAGAACCTGCCTTACCCTACAGAGTTCTTCGTCGACTTGCTTCCATTCTGAGCTGTGGCTGAGAGCACGGTCGACGTATGCGTTAACAACACTCCTCTTGTACCTGTCAGGGCAGTCGCTGTTGGCATTTAGGCACATTCCTATGTTTGTTTCCTTTGTGTAGACTGCAGTGTGGACACCTCCGCCCTTTTCCATGACTGTTACATCTAGAAAAGGCAGCTTCCCATCCTTTTCCGTCTCGTAAGTGAAACGCAGCACGGAACTCTGCTCAAATGCCTCCTTCAGCTCCTGCAGATGTCTAACATCAGGTACCTGTGTAAAAATGTCGTCAACATACCTGCAGTATATGGCCGGTTTCAAGTTCATGTCGACTAAGACTTTTTGCTCGATGGTACCCATGTAGAAGTTTGCAAACAGGACACCTAGGGGAGAACCCATAGCGACCCCATCTACTTGCTTATACATGTGCCCATCCGGGCTCAAGAAGGGTGCCTCTTTAGTACAAGCTTGGAGTAGTTTCCTCAGAATACTTTCTGGCATGTCAAGAGGAGTACAGGCTGGATCACGATACACTCTGTCGGCTATCATTCCGATTGTCTCGTCCACAGGTACATTGGTAAACAGCGATTCTACGTCCAACGAGGCTCTTATCCCTGTGGCCCGTGCGCCCCGCAGTAAGTCCACAAATTCCTTTGGAGACTTCAGGCTGAAGGCGCAAGGAACATAAGGAGTCAGCAGGCCGTTGAGTCGCTTCGCCAATCTGTACGTGGGTGTGGGTCATTGCCATAGGTCCTCCATATATGGAGGACCTACGGCAATTCCACGACCAAGAGATGGCTTCCTGAACCTTGCAGGAATTAACCTCACTGAGGACCAAGTCACTCTCCTAAATCTGGGCATAAACTGTCATGTTATGTCCAGACCGAGTGAAATGGCCCGGAAAGTGGAGTTGGAAATTCTGTTGGACGACATATTCGACCTCGAGACACAAAAGAAGGTCACTACCAAAGATACCTTACAAGCAGAACTTATTGCAGAAGGAGGAAAGAATCGAGGCAACTACAGAAGCACCATACTGTCCCCCGAGCTTAGAGCGGCAGCTAAAAGCCTTCGTGAGAACAAGGAGATAGTTGTCAGGAGAGGTGACAAGTCGCCAATATATGTCATTCTTAAAAAAGACGAATATCTGGCGAAAATGAACATCATACTCTCTGACCAAACTAAGTTCCAAAGGGTAACGAAGGACACTACAGCCGAATTAAAAGCAAAGGTCAACAAACTGATCGAAACTGTGAACGCCAAGAAATCCGGACTCCACCTGCCAAAGATCATTGGGGAATATAAACCTGGATATGCGTATGGAAATGTCAAGACGCACAAGCCTGGAAACCCACTTCGGCCAATCATTAGCCAGATACCCACACCCACGTACAGATTGGC